GGCATTTCGTTTTTTTAAAAGATTTTATTTATTTGAGAGAGAGAATGAGTGGTGGGGAGGGGCAGAGAGAGAGAGAGAGAGAGAGAGAAGCAGACTCCCTGCTGAGCAGGAAACCTGATGCAGGGCTCCATCTTGGAGATCATGACCTGAGCCCAAGGCAGGTGCTTAAACGACTGAGTCACCCAGGCGTCCACTTCTGGCATTTCAGTTTTACACAAAAGTCATTACTTTCCATGCTTCTAGGAGTCATCATAGTAGTGATTTGCACCAACTCCTTGGGCCCTTGCCAGGAAGTTATTTTGGGAGAGTGCTCTACCGTAAGTAGAGCTTTCCCTATCCCACTGTATGGTCTGGCCTCCTTGATCAAGCCCTCTCTGAATCCAGTCCCACATATACTCCTCAAGTTCCTGGTGGTACATGTTGGCTGGTCTTATATCTTCTTTGGGGAATAGTCTTTTACCTACCTTATTAGACACAGTACCTCCTAACTAGGTTATGCTAGGACTTAACTCTATTATAGGGCTCGTGGCAGGTTTGTGTGTGGGCCTAGGGCGGGGGGCAGGTGTCTGCAGGGGGAAAAGAGAACATTCTGCTTTCCAGTTAGAAGCCTCTGCAAAGTCTTCTAGCATAGGAAAGTGATAGCTCTTAGTAAAGAAGAGCCACACTGCAGGCATCTGAGGAGCCTAAGGAATGAAAATCTTTAGGAGCGCCATCCAGATATCTCTTCCTTCATGTGTGGGAATGCTAGATTTTCTCAATCATGGTCCTGACCTTGCCACAACAGACCTGCCATTTTTGGTTATTTAACTATCTTTGAACTACTCTAAAGTCTGATCTTTTTTTAAAAAAAGATTTTATTTATTTATTCGTGACACATACACACACACAGAGGCAAAGACACAGGCAGAGGGAGAAACAGGCTCCATGCAGGGAGCCTGATGTGGGACTCGATCCCAGGACTCCAGGATCACACCCTGGGCCAAAGGCAGGCGCTAAACCACTGAGCCACCCAGGGATCCCCAAGTCTGATCTTTTTGCTTCTCAATCTCCACCTTTTCTCTGCTAACGAAAGCTTTTTTTGTGTGCAAAATAGAGGGCCTCTGGCTTTCTCTCCTTACTTGCAATTGCATAACGAACACCTACCCTAAGGTATTCATTCTTTTTTTGTAATCAATGGAGCTTAGCAAAAGTCATCCAATTGTTATCCTTATCACCGTTATTTTTACTATATGTCTCAAATTCCTGATATGTCACACTTCTAGCATTCTCTTCCACCTGGTATATCACCCCAGTTGGACAACCACTTTGTGCCAGGCACTGTCTGTGCTTCATCTACTACCAGTAGGTGGTCCATATCCATCTCCCAAATTCTGTCTTATTGCCTGCTTTCTCCAACCAAGAAAGATTTGAACAGACTGCACAAAAACTCTGGAGCGAATATTGCAAATCACATGTCCCATGGTGGGCCATAATGGCAGAGCCTTTCTATTCCAGCCTTGTGCAATCACCCAATATCAGTTGCCCTGGAAAGGACATACAGGGCAGGGCTTCTCTCTGCAGCTGAAACAGACCCTGATGGAGCTGACAACTGGAGGCACTCCATGCACCTTGGGAACAAGTCCTTCCTTGAAGCGTGTTCTGGACAGCATCTCCATATTTAGTACTAGGGCAAACAGAGATACCACGCACATTCTCTTTTGCAAAGAACCAAAAGATCTTTTTTTTTTTTTTTTTAACTTTCTGATTCCCCAGCTGGGGAAATCTTTTATTTAATCAGGAAAGTGGAAGCATAGTAGAGAATATTTGTCTAACATCATTGTATACTTCTCCTTCCTTGATATTATGATCCCCTATTGGGCATATAGGCACTGAGAATAAAGTTAGTTCTGGCCATGGGTCGTAAGCAGGAATGGTGTGTACGACTTCCAGGAAGTATCCCTTCAAGGGAGGAGACATGATCGTCTTTCCCCCTTTTTTTCTGCTTATTAGAATGTAGACATGATAGCTAGAACTTAATAGCCATCTGGACCATAAGATAGAAGCCACATGTTGAGAATGAAGGTAATTAGGTCTCTGATGGTCATGGAATCACCACTAATCTAGACTGCCTACCTCTCCATTCATGTGATAAAGAAATAAATGTTCATCTTGGCTAAGGACACTTAAAAAAATACTGTTCCTCATAGATTAACCTATTCCTGTCTGATGCAGAATTTGATCCCTATAAACTCATACAGCACACAACATGCCTTAACATAAATGTGGTAGTGGCTTAGTGGAAGCATTTAGGCAGTGTGTGGTAGACTCAGATACTGCAACATGGAAACTTGGAGACATTTATTGTCCAGTTGCATGGTATTTGTGGCATAAAGGGAGATTATTGGAAACATTTATAAACTTTGTATTTGCTGGCTTTAAATTTTTGTCAGTTTCAGCAAAGTGCTTTGAGAGATTAGTTTAGGCCTGAGCTAGTCATTCTGTAAGTAGGGATAGAAAGGTATACAGCTTTGCTAAGAGGGGAACTCTGTCTACAATCTGAATGGATTAAGGGTTCCATAATTTGAAAAGGCTGAAAAACCCAACTACTACTATAGTTCTTTTTTTTTTTTTTAATTTTTATTTGTTTATTTATGATAGTCACAGAGAAAGAGAGAGGCAGAGACAGAAGCAGGCTCCATGCACCGGGAGCCCGACGTGGGATTCGATCCCGGGTCTCCAGGATCGCGCCCTGGGCCAAAGGCAGGCGCCAAACCGCTGCGCCACCCAGGGATCCTACTACTATAGTTCTAATCAAAGCACGCAGAAACTGCCTGTGAACAAAAGCCTTGGAAGGAAATATACCTGCCATTCAGCCATACAAAGCTGACAAAAAATGGATTAAGTATGCTGTCAACCTGGGGAGCCGGGGTGGCGCAGTCAGTTGAGCATCCAACTCTTGGTTTTGGCTCTGGTCATGATCTCAGGGTGGTGAATGGAGACCTGCATCAGGCTCCCTGCTCAGTAGGGAGTCTGCTTTAAGATTCTCTTCCTCTGCCCCTCCCCCATCTCAAATAAATAAATAAACCTTTAAAAAATGTGCCAACCCATTAAATCCCATTGTTTTAGATGCCCCTGAGTTAGCTATCTTTTTTTTTTTTCAGATTTTATTTATGTATTCATGAGAGACACAGGGATATAGGCAGAGGGAGTGGGATTTGATCCCAGGACCCCAGGATCACACCCTGAGCTGAAGGCAGACGCTCAACCACTGAGCCACTCAGGCGTCAAGTTAGCTATCATTAAAAGTGAGTTGGGTGAGCAGCACATGGAAGCCAGGAAATAAGTCTTTGGGCTTAAAACATATTTTAGCAAGAACTACAGCAGTAATTTCTCCCACATAGAACTGAATGAAAATAAAAGGATGACAGCCCTATTACATTTTTGCATATATTGCCAGATATACCAACCCTGATATGCATTCATGGGCTTCCACTGTTGTTATTGACAAGCACAGTTGTGGAAGTGTTTGGTATTTCTGGAGCAACATTAAGCAGAAGTGTCAATATCTAGCCACTATACTGCGGGCCCTAACATTCAGGACTGAAGATGTGTTGTACTAGAACAGATCACAGTGGGTATAGTGTGGTTCTGGAGTTGGCCATACAACACACGTAACTTTCTGATGTCTGTGGTTCCTAGGTATATGCAGGAGCAATATAGTTCTGGAGTCTTCATTTCCTGATCATAGAAGTCATTGTTCCCTTGGTGGCCTGGTTCTGTGAATACTTTGAGGGAATCATTCCTGAAAGCTTAATCTTAGAGTCTATTTAATCAACACTCCCACATATTCAATACTCTTTGTGCTTATATCGGGGGAATGGATTCTATTGTCTCCAACTGAACCTTGACAGATATCATAAATTGTAGAGGAAGAATGGGGGCTGCAGACAATAGGATTTTACTAAGATAAGAGAACTAGAATTAGGAAAATTATAATAGGAAAACTAGAATTGGTTATCTGTCCTGGTAGAGTTTGAACGTAGGATTGATCCTGCTAGTACTAGAGAATGAGACACTCCAGTGCATGATACACAATGGCAAACTAAGAGACTGACCAATAATTATATTTCTAGTTCTGTCTTTGTCTACTTTGATCATCAACATTATACTGGCTTCAAAATGAGTTAGGGTGCTTTCTTTTCTGCTCTCAAATAGGAATTATTAATCCCTTGAAAGCAGCTCAAACCCTAGCTTTGAGTTTATCTCACCAAGTGATAGCATTAATTTCTCTTTAGGCAGTTCAGAGTCGCCATGTGTGTCATACTGTTCTCTATGAAAATTCAGTGATTAGGAGCTATAAAGTCTTACTCTTAAAATGAGTTTTTGGAAAGGGTATTGACTCTAAATTAATCGGGATTTAGGATTCTTGGCTTGGCAAGGGAAGAGGTCATCAATGCCCTGCAGAGTTTTTAGGATAAAGATTTCCACTCTAGGCAACTTCTTCCAGTCTTGTGGTTTTAAATACCATTTGGTGACTCCTAAATTTATATGCCCTGATCTAAATCCCCCCCCGCCCCAGCTCCAAACTTGCTATCTGTTGGCTCAACTTCTCTGTATGCAAATTAGGCATCTTAGTTTTAGTAAGAATATGGTCCATCACAACATACCCATTTTTCCTCATTTCAGCAAGGACCAACCATCCAGTTGTTTTGGGGAAAAAAGAATCCCTGTCATTTCTCTTTCTTTTTTATTTTTTATGCTTCAAAATACATCCAGAATCTAGCAGGTCTCAACATTTCCACTGCAGCCACCTTGTTCCAAGTCAAATAATTTATTCCGTGGGCATCTGGAATGGTCTCCTAACTAACCTTACTGGGTGCACGTTTGAAGGTCAACAGCCTATGCAACACGAGCAGCCACTTTACAAATTATGCAACTCCCCAGCTCAAAACCATCCAACGCCCTCCACCTCCTTACCCTGCTTAATCAGAGCCCTGCTGATCTCACTAATTTCATTTCCCAGAATCATTACATCTAGGCTCAATGTGCTCTAAGCACCCTAGCCTCCCTGCTTCTTTCCAGACCCCGGAGCATGTTATGCTTGAGGATTTTTTTCTTTAATATTTTATTTGTTAGACACACACACACACAGAGGCAGAGACACAGGCAGAGGGAGAAGCAGGCTCCCTGCAGGGAGCCTGAGGCGGGACTCGATCCCAGGACCCCGGGGTCACGGCCTGAGCCAAAGGCAGATGCTCAACCGCTGAGCCACCCGGGCTGCCCCTGCTCGAGGACTTTAAACTTGCTGTCCCCTTTGCCTGCAACATCCTTCCCTGAGATTCCTGCAAGGCTCGCTATACTTGCATTCAGCTCTCCGTTCAAGTGCCAACTCCAGGAGGTCTTTCCCGACTATCTCACCTAGAACGGCCCACGCCTTACCTCGTTCCTCTACCACTCAGTATTTCCTATCATTTCGGTTTACCGTTTGCCCCTCTCTAGAACGTGAAGTTCCTATGGAGCAGGGAATGTATTTCCCTGGCGTCTTGAATACATGCATGCTTGGCACCAGAGCAGGAATCCTGCTGGATAGAATGCACCTGGACTGGACTTCTCCTGCTTAACTGCATCCCTGGCTCCGGGAGCTCACCTCACTCAGGTAAGCATGCCAACCGAGGAAGCAAGCGGCAGGTAAGTGCTGCGCCGCGCCGCGGCTGAACCTAGGTGGGGCTCGCGCAGAGACCCTTCCCAGCTGCCCGCGGCCACAAGTGGGCCTTAACACGCTCGGGTTCTCGTCCTGGTCTGGCCGGGAAGGGAACGAGGTGGGCGGGAGAAGACGAGGCGGGCACGGGCTGCGGAAGGTGCCCCGGCGCTACGGCGCGCGGGTGCGGATTCGCGGCTACGCACGGCAGCGCTCGGGTCCGCCAGCCGGCCCGTGGGGCGCGGGGGCCGGGGCGGCGACTCCCCACCGAGAGCCCGGGCGCCCGGCGCCAGCAAGCCCGGCAGCCATTTTCCGCAACTAGTCTCCCGAGTAACCCCGCCCGAGCGTGTACGCAAAAAAAAAAAAAAAAAAAAAAAAAAGGAGGGGGGCGGGGCTCGTTGTGAGGGCCTCGCTCCGGAAGCCGCACCCTCGGGGGCGGCCCACCGTCCAGGAGTCACGAAACGCGGGGCCAGATTTAACAGTCGGCGGCGAAAGCGCGCACTCGAACGCCAATGAGAGCGGAAGGAGGGGACCGCTCCTGAAGGCTACTCTGCATATCTGGCGATGATTGGCGGAGCTCTCCTGTCTTCTCCTTTGGTATTGGCTGGACTTCCTTGTTCCGCCCTCCCAGGGGCTTTTGTGTAGGTACTTCTGATTGGCTCCTCCTGGGTGGATGCGGGGGGGGAGCCTGGCGTGGGGGGACGCTTGCTCATCGCTGATTGGTGGATTTGAGCCCTTAGCGTCGTCTTCTGGAGGAAGGAGACCGTCCCATCTTCTCCCTGTCCCGTCTCCCGACCCGTACGCTTTTCCCCAACTCGCGCGCACGAATGGTTAAAAAAAAAAAAAAAAAAAAAAAAAAAGGGTGTGAGGCTCGAGCCCGCCAGCCAGGCCTCCAGCACCTCGCGCGCGCCCTCAGCGAGGACCCGCGCGAGCTGCCCGTGACGCTGCCTGCGCTGTTTGAAACTGCAGAAGAACCCGTTAGGATCTTGGGGAAACTACCGTTCCAGCTGGTTCCGGGGCCCGTGCGTGCCAGGGGGGCGAGCGGCGGTCGCGAGGCGGCTCCTGCCTGTCGTGTCTCTGCAGCGCGGAGACTAGAACCGGCACTTTCGAAGGACGCCACCTCCAATCGCAGTGCTGGCGCGGGCGGAGGCTCAAACACGGGGGTCCTGAGAGTGAGGAAAACGCGCCAAGTTCCCCTCGGTGGTGGAGTGGGAAAGACCCTAGCGGTTCCGGCGCTCGGCGAGCGGGGCTGCGTCCGGTGGTGCTCGCCATCCCGGGGCGGGCGGGGGCGGGCGGGGGCGGGCGCCGGCGGGCGCCGCTCCGGGGATGTAGTTGGTGCCGGCGCCGGGCAGCACCGAGCGGCAGCCCGGGTTCCCGCTCCGAGAGCGGGTGGTCACTCCCCCGCGGGGAGGGCGATCCGGGCAGCTTCTCCTGGGTCGGGGGGTGGGGGGGCGCGGCGGGGGCGCGGGCAGGGTCTCACCTGTCGCACCCACGCGCATCCCGGCTGCACTCGGGGCGTCACCGCCGCGGACCTCGCTGTGGGCCATGATCAGGTAAGAAGGGCCTGGGGAGGAGGGGCCGGTGCCCGGGCGCCGAGGCAGGTCCGGCCGGCTCCCGAGGGGGCTGCGGCGGGGGAGCCGCCCGCCGAGCCCTCCGGGCCCCGCCGTGCGTGTGCGCGTGTGCGTGTGCGTGTGCGGGGGGTGCCCCTTCTGCCGCCGCAGGGCTGCGGGGAGGCAGGTGCGGGCTGCGCGTGAAATAGGCCAGCGCCGCGGGCGAGCGAGCCGGGAGCTGCGGCGGCCGGGCTGTCGGGCGCCCACGGCCGCCCGGCCCCGTCTTTCCACTCGGGCTTGCGGGAGTGTTGCGGCGGCGCGGGGAGAAGAGGCTCCCCCCACCCCTCTGGAGCCCTGTCCCGGGTCGGGGGTTGCTACGTTTTACGCGTACTCACCTAATTTTTCCAGAAGTATTTCGAAGGCCACGTGTTTTAGACCTTTTGTCGAGGATGCTGTCCTTAATGGTTTTACTTTTTTCTTTTATTTATTTATTTTTTTACCCCCTCTGGGGAATTGGAATGGAGACGTGTCGTCTTGGAAAGGGAAGCACTTAAAAGCTAACGAGACTGAGTGTTGATGCTGTCATTGGTTCAGGAGTATTTAATATTCGATTTATTGTGTGTTCGGCGAAACTTGATTTAGACCTAAGGAAAACCAGGAGCAAGAAATGGTGTAGCGTCAGATAGGGTAGCTGGTAAAAATGCGAGCCTGTCAGGGATAGTAAAGGTCAGTGATTTGAGGGAGCCCGCAGAGCTCATTGCTTAGGATTTGTCCGTTATTTCAGCTGCTGGGTCGTTTTTTTCTAATACATACTCAAGTCCGGTTTGAGAATGCACTTTCCATCATTTGTTAAGAATTGGCTCCCAAGGAAGCCCTTTTACGAGAATCGTTAATGCTGAGAGATCCCTGACAACTTGGCGCAGGCTGGTCTGTCATTGGTGATCGCTTTCCCTCAGTAGCATTCAGTGGCTAGAAGCCTACGTTGAGTTGGAGAGGGAGGGGGGATGGGGAAGGGGGTCAACTTTCCAGTTACTGCTAAAGGCTCGAAAATGTGGTTTCACTACTGAGTCCAATGTTTCAAATTCCTAGGTCAGAGGCAGAGTGAAATGGTTGTTAGTAAAGATGGGGTTTGGGTGGATTTTGTTAGTTTATCTATTTACCCTACTACTGTGTATATTTGAAAGTCATTGCTGAGCTTTTGTACTCCAGTAACTCCGGTCAGATCACTTTCCCCCAGATGTCTTAATGGTAGTAATAGGATGGGTGTATAAAATTGCTATCACAAATACTGCTAGGAGTTTTTTCGATCAGAAGTTTTAACAGAGGAGAAAAGGTTGCAGAAGTCAAAATCCTGTTTTTCCTACTCAAAACAGTTATTAGAAATTTGTAGTTCAAAAAAGTTTGAAAAATCAGTGGCGTATCACGGTGTTTAGTGCATAACAACTTGGGATGCACAAAGTGCAGCAATTATTTACACTACTATCCGACTACATGTTTTATAACTTCTCACTCAACTTCTTAGGTATAACTGAACACCAGATCTATGCCTTTGCTTACATATGCAAGTTATACTTTAACTGGAATATAGTTGACACACGTTACATTAGTTTCAGGTGTACAGCATAGTGACTTGAGCAAGCTGTACTTTAAAGAAGCTTTTTAGAGGCTTTACTTCATGTATTCACAAAAATAACTGGAAGACTTGTGCCTGGAAGGAAGACTCCTTCACTTGTAACACTCTTGGATTTCCCATTCACTCCTTTCTTTCTCTTTCTGACCTTGTATTTTAGAATTAGAGATAGTTGTTGCTCAGTCGATATTTTCTGAATAAGTTAAAATAAAAATTTTTTACTTAATGCTACTTTACTATAGGCGTACTAAAATGGGGATATTTTTGTGATCTGAACCTTAATCCAATAGACTAATAAAAGTTCAGTATCTGATATTTTTGTTGTTTAAGAAAGCTAAGAACAAAAGGCAAGCCCTTTCATTTAAGCGATAAGCATTGAATGCCTGTTACTGGCCAAGCATTGGGTTTTCAAATGTGAAGTTCTGATTAGTTCCATTCCTTGGTAAATCTTCAAAATTAATGATTTTTATTGCTACAGCTGATAACTGAAAAGTAATGAAACCTTTCCCCTGCGATTAACAGATATGATTGATTACAACATCCTTGTATAAATTAATTCTTGTAAACTCCTTGGGATTTGAAGAGAAAATGCCTGGTGTCATACCTAGTGAAAGTAATGGGCTTTCAAGAGGTAGCCCGTCAAAGAAAAACAGACTTTCCTTGAAGTTTTTTCAGAAAAAGGAAACCAAGAGAGCCTTGGATTTCACGGATTCTCAAGAAAATGAAGAAAAGGCTTCTGAATATAGAGGATCTGAAATGTATGTATCTTGAGTATATTTCTGTATTTAAAAAATTCCATATCCGTGAAGAAGTCGTGAACTTTGATATCTCCAGACATTCTGACCTGATAGTCTATGAAGGCAAGAAAAACACAGTAGTGAGACAAACCTATTAGCTAATTAGATTAACTAGGAAAAATACTTATTGGTTAAAATTATTTTTCAACTTAAATTTGTAGTGTAACATTCTATGTAGAGGGTAAAGAAATAATGTGATGTTGTGTGTGTGACTAAGAAGACTTGATAGTTCTTGAGCTGTTTAAACTTTATAGTCATACCTAATGGATAAATTATCAGACCTGCTGTTGTATAGTTGCTGATTATATTTAAGATAAACTTCAACATAAAAGCTTTGATGCAAATAAATCCTTTAGTGACTAAGATCTGAACAAAATGGAATACTTAAGCGACTACACTTCATAAATCCCCCTCTGCTCTGTACTTCAGTGATCAAGTTGTCCCTGCAGCACAGTCCTCACCTGTACACTGTGAGAAGAGAGAAAACTTACTACCCTTTGTGGGACTGAATAATCTCGGCAACACTTGTTACCTTAATAGTATACTTCAGGTAAATGGAGTTTTTTTTTTTTTTTTTTTTTTTTGCTATTTAATAAAGCTTTAGTAGGCAAAGCATGTCGTCACATTTAATATTCTGAGCATTTCAGATTATCTGGGAGTATTTTAATTGTGCATACTGTCTTTGCCTCTGATTGTAAATAAACTAGAATGGGCTAAAGTAATGATTCTAAATTGCATGTTTACCAGCTTCCTTTTGGGTGAAAGTGATAAAATTGGGTAACAAAATTGAATTGACTTTGGTTAACTGGAAGATGCCAAACCCTTAGCTTTTCTGCTTGATTCCTAGTGCATTGGTGGAATGGAATTTAAACCTCTGAACTCTGTTTAATGTACCCTTATAACCATTAAGTCTTAGCAGTATGTACCCAGCCTCAGTGCTTTGCGGCTGGTGGGGGAAGACAGTGAGCTACTTATGATGAAATAGAAAACAACTTTTGATGTTAGTATTAAGTTAATGCACATTTGAAAGTGCTTTACAAAAAAATGTAGGTAGTGTTTTAATCATTTTAGGTATACTGTTTGCTCAGTAAACACTCAGACAACACTCTTTTTATAGGTATTATACTTTTGTCCTGGTTTTAAATCTGGAGTGAAGCACTTATTCAACATTATTTCAAGGAAGAAAGAAGCCCTAAAAGATGAAGCCAATCAAAAAGATAAGGTAAAAAATAAAAGCACAATAGATAAAAAATAGAATTCACCTGCTTAGCAATGAAAAATAGATACACAGAGGATTTGGGAGGAGGATAACAGTCTCTCTTAACAGACAGAATTGAATTTCTCAGTATCTTGTGTTTTCAGAAGGGCATTTTCCCCCCATTCTTGTAACAAGTTAGCTAACTAGTCACCTTTTAATGCCTTCTCCTGCCTTCTGATTTACTGCTTACCACTAAACCTTGTCATTTATATATCACAGTCACAGTTGATCGTACCATCTGTTGTTTTCAATTTCTTTTAAAATTTAAGTAAATCTAAAGAAACCTCCAACTTACATAATCAGAAAACCATTCTTTTCCAAATAGAAAGTAATCAAAAAATGTTCTTAAAATTTTTTAGTTTATTTGTATATCTCCATAAAATTAGTGTCATAATGAAATTAAATTTAGCAAAGCTAGTATTACCTAGTGAGACAAAGATAAGGGGGATGAATTTATTTAATGGTTTATGTGTTTCTTTTTTGACAGGGAAATTGCAAAGAAGATTCTTTGGCAAGTTATGAACTGATATGCAGTTTACAGTCCTTGATCATTTCAGTTGAACAGCTTCAGGCTAGCTTTCTCTTAAATCCAGAAAAATACACTGATGAACTTGCTACTCAGCCAAGGCGACTGCTTAACACACTCAGGTATAGCCTTTAATAAATTTTAGTATTCTAGCCTAGCAGCTTATTGTGCTCTTTGGAGAGGGATATATGAACAAGTAAGGGGAGTAAAGGGCAAGGAAAACAAACTACAGATCTATATTATAGTCTCTACTAGTATCCAGAGGTTCTGGAAATTAGACTTTTTTTTTTTTCTTTTGTAAGTTTGGTACTAAAATAATTCATTAGATCTGAATCAGTCTGAAGCTATTTATCGTCTTTATTCATTTTTATGTGAATATTCATATATTTTTCTGTAGAAATAGTAATATGTTTAATCACGGGATACTGTCCCCCTCCCCCGTCATGTTGGTGAAAAATACTTGTTAAATGCCATATTTTTGATCTGATCATTACTGAGTTTCTCAAATACATTTGGTCCCAAGAAATTTCAAATCCGGTATTGTAGGTTTTTATTCAAAATATATTATGCATAGGAACTGTAAATTCCAGATATTCTAGTTTTATTGTATGTGCTTGAATAACTATTAGTTAACTGGATTAGATTTCTTTGTATTATCTTAAATGAAACTTTATCCAATATATAAAGTAGCGGTATCTAATGTGTCATAGGGTTAAATTTTTAAAGTTTAAGAATAGACCTAGGGTAGGGCACCTGGCTGGCTTAGTTGGTAGAGCATGCAACTCTTGATTTAGGGGTTGTGAGTTCGAGCCTCGTGTTGGGTGTAGAGATTACTTAAAAAACAAAAACACCAGACTTAGGTGTAAATGCACTGTTACATGTTTGTTAATGAGCAGTGTAGTATATAGCATGGTGGCCAAGAGCAGGTTGGAATCAAGGCTTTGCATCTCTTTGCCCTTGGGCAAGCTACCTTATCTGTAAGTCATGGTGATAATAGTACTTAACCTCATGGGATTATTGTTAGAATTATGTTATATACATAATATAAAAAGCATCTTGAATAAAACCTGGTACATGGTAAACTATATATATACTAGCTGCTACTAGTGTTTAGAAAAGGATGAAAGTATTTATGATAATGAGGTAAAATTTGTTTTTACTTTTTTTTTATTTTATTTTATTTTTTTTTTGTTTTTACTTTTAGTCACAAGTTAGGGAAGAAGTTTCAAATTAGTAGTGAAATAAATATTTTTAGATTTTTAAAATAATTTGATATTCCTCTAAATGAATTAATTTCTCTATAGAAAGGAGTTTTTCTGTATTCTATCTTAAAAACTAGAATAGATGAAATGGAAATTTTTATTTATAGGGAACTCAACCCTATGTATGAAGGATATCTACAGCATGATGCACAGGAAGTATTACAGTGTATTTTGGGAAACATTCAAGAAACATGCCAACTCCTAAAAAAAGAAGAAGTAAAAAATGTGGTAGAATTATCTACTAAGATAGAAGAAAAACCTCATCAGAAAGAGGAAACGAGTGGTATTAACAGCATAGAGATGGACAATCTTAGGCCTTCTGAAGATTATAAAGAAAAACTCCCAAAAGGAAATGGGAAAAGAAAAAGTGACACTGAATTTGGTAACATGAAGAAAAAAGTTAAAGTATCCAAGGAACACCAGTCATTGGAAGAGAACCAGAGACAAACCAGATCAAAAAGGAAAGCTACAGGTGATACGTTAGAGATTCCTTCTAAAATAATCCCCAAGTGTGTTTCTGAAAATGAAAGTGCAAGACCCTCACAAAAGAAATCAAGAGTTAAAATAAATTGGTTAAAGCCTGCAACTAAGCAACCCAGCATTCTTTCTAAACTCTGTAGTCTGGGGAAAATAACAACAAACCAGGGATCCAAAGAACAGTTGAAAGAAAATGAATATGATCTTGAAGAGGACTTGGGGAAGTGTGAAAATGATAACACAACTAATGGTTGTGAACTTGAATCTCCAGGGGATAATGTTAAGCCCGTTAATGTTAATGAAGTTAAGCCCATAAACAAAGGTCAGTATAATTTATTCTTAGACATTGATAGGTAGGAGGATTAACAGCTACAGTACTGTAATGTTCTTAGATACATGTACAACATAAGTCTGGTTCAAGTTGTAAGAGGAAATTTTAACATTGAACATGAACTGTGTGGTGCTTTAAACACTGTGCTTAGATGTGTGTATAAGTCTCATTAATCTTAAGGTAATGTTAATTTATGGTTTATAAACAAGGGGAGTTCAATGCATTTTAATGGAGAGAGAATTACTTTACCCCCTTCTGAAAGTACTTAACAACTCAAGAAATTGCATTTAATACAGCACAATTTTAGAGAACTAAGTAGTTATATTGTACTTGAATTAGATTTCTACCTAATTTCATCCAGATCTCAGGGAAAATATCTTTGGGAAGGGAGTTAAAGTGACACAACTGACTTTCTTAGAGACAACAGTAATTCATATTCAAAGCTATCTTTACAGGGAATTTGTGTCATGAGCAAGGCACCTCTTAACGCTAATAAGCAAGTTTAGCTATAAATACCTTTTACTCATGATACACTGTAAATGAACTATTGGTTATTTGGGCTGTGCTGAAAAGTTTTCCTATTTTTGTTTTAGGTGCAGAGCAAATTGGTTTTGAGCTAGTAGAGAAATTATTTCAAGGTCAGCTGGTATTAAGGACTCGTTGCTTAGAATGTGAAAGTTTAACAGAAAGAAGAGAAGATTTTCAGGACATCAGTGTGCCAGTACAAGAAGATGAGCTTTCCAAAGTAGAGGAGAGTTCTGAAAGTAAGCAGAATCGGAGTCTTGTATGGACTTGTGTGGACCGTGGAATAAGTAGTTTTCTTCAACAAAACACAGTCTAATAGTAGCTTATGTAATTATTGAGAAAGAAGAGCTGGCTTTTAGTGTTTCTGGTATAATAAAATCTTTCTGCTCATATAGAATGACTTGTTAAAAGCATTTGGAAAATTGTGGCATCTTTATTTTGATGTATACAATGGGAAAATGAAACGCTTTAATAACTTTTGGTTATCAGTCTTTGAGCTATAGGGGATACTTTTAACACAATAATTGAGCCACTGTTTTAGCATAAAACGACAAAAAGTAGGGAAAGGATATGAGAAGTGATTATGAGACTGGCTTACCTGTTCAGATACTGGAAATTAATAGTTACACTAAAGTCTGTCTTACGGAGAGTAGGTTATCTTCATTTTGCTGTCCCTATCACCTAAATACTTTTTGGCTGCCCAAATATAAATATTTAAAAGATATGTATGTATACACAGCTGAGGATGAACTTAAGTTTCTGAAACTCAAAGGAATTTCTATTATTTGGGAAGGATTAGTCAATAGAAATTGCATGCTAATTTTGAACATGGAACTTGTTTAATTTTTAACGTCTGAGAGGTTTTTCATTTGTGAGTGAAAGGAATTCTCTTATGTAGTTTCTCCAGAGCCAAAAACAGAAATGAAGACCCTGAGATGGGCAATTTCACAGTTTGCTTCAGTGGAGAGGATTGTAGGAGAAGATAAATATTTCTGTGAAAATTGCCATCATTATACTGAAGCCGAACGAAGTCTTTTGTTTGACAAAATGCCTGAAGTTATAACTATTCATTTGAAGTGCTTTGCTGCTAGTGGCTTGGAGTGAGTATTATAAATAAAAGCTATATGAAAAAAAATGAGCTGCTATAAGAAGTTTTGTTCAAAATACTGTAATAGTAACAAAATAGTGTACTAGCATAAACTACTGAAAAGTAATTTATAAAGATTATCTTAGAAAAGTTTGTTCTCTTTTTAACAGTTTACTTGTAAAAATGCATCAATTTCAATCCTTTTGGTATGAATACATATTCTAGGATTTCTTCCCACATCTTTTAATTGAAGATTAAAGATTATTAGAAAGTTTCAAGTTAAACTGATTAAAAGCAGCAAAGAGATTTTATATACATTGAAATTTATTTTTGAGGGGAGAAAAAGGCAAGATTATTTCGTTTTCAAGGTAAGCCAGGAATCAAACTAGTTCTTTGAAGAGAGATTCTTCTGTTAAGTATCTTTGTGACATGTATACATATTAGTGAATTGTTTGAAATTACCATAAGGGTTTCCCAGTAGCTCTCTACACACTTTGCTATGCCCGTAGATGACACTTTCAGCAGACTTTTTCTTTGCTATTTATTTTTGTTCCCCTAGAGACAGTCTTCACATTAAAATTACTTAAAATGTAAAGTATTTTGGAGTTAAGTGGCATTTAAAAAACTGATTTTCTCGGGCAGCCCAGGTGGCTCAGCGGTTTAGTGCTGCCTTCGACCCAGGGGCATGATCCTGGAGTCCCGGGATCGAGTCCCATGTTGGGCTCCCTGCATGGAGCCTGCTTCTCCCTCTGCCTGTGTCTCTGCCCCCCCTTCCCGTGTCTCTCATGAATAAATAAATAAAATCTTAAAAAAAAAAAACAACTGATTTTCTCATTATAAAGAAAATGGAAGGGAGAATGCCATATATCCTTCACAGAAACAGCTGAATATTAGCACTTAATGATATTTACACAAAGAAAAAATACTGAAATAAGTATACAAAATTAAGAGTCTGGTTTTTTATGTTTATATGAGCTCTAAGGGTCATTCAGACAACTTGATTTCACATTTGGGTATAAAACAATAAATGTAAAGTAGAAATTGCAGAAATCCCCCTTTTTTTTTTCTCCCTCCCAAAGGTTTGATTGTTATGGTGGTGGACTTTCCAAGATCAACACTCCTTTACTGACACCTCTTAAATTGTCACTAGAAGAATGGAGCACAAAGCCAACCAACGACAGCTATGGATTATTTGCGGTTGTGATGCACAGTGGCATTACCATCAGTAGTGGGCATTACACTGCTTCTGTTAAAGTCACCGACCTTAACAGTTTAGAACTAGATAAGGGAAATTTTGTCATCGACCAAATGTGTGAAATAGGTAAGCCAGAACCATTGAATGAGGAGGAAGCAAGGGGTGTGGTTGAAAATTATGATGATGATGAAGTGTCAATTAGAGTTAGTGGAAATACACAGCCAAGTAAAGTTTTGAACAAAAAAAATGTAGAAGCTATTGGACTTCTTGGAGGACAAAAGAGCAAAGCAGATTATGAGCTATACAACAAAGCATCTAATCCTGATAAAGTTGCCAGTACAGCATTTGCTGAAAATAGAAATTCTGAGACTAACAATATTAATGGGACCCATGAATTTGATACAAACAAAGAATCCAGTGACCAAACAGGCATTAACTTTAGTGGATTTGAGAACAAAATTTCATGTGTAGTGCAAAGCTTAAAGGAGTATGAGGGGAAATGGTTACTTTTTGATGATTCTGAAGTGAAAGTTACTGAAGAGAAGGACTTTTTGAATTCTCTTTCCCCTTCTACATCTCCTACATCTACTCCTTATTTGCTATTTTATAAGAAATTATAGAGTATTTTCCTTATGTGTATATTAACAGACCTGGACAAAAGCTGGTAAAGTTGATTACATCAAAGAGTCTAGCTTATCTTTTGAAGCTATTGGATATTATTGGTCTCTCTAGGTTTTTATATAAATAGTGAAATTTGAATTACTGAAAACCATGTTAATTTTTAGAATTTCCAGTAGTAGAGACTAGTGATGCATTAGCTTCTGGGAACAAACTTGTATAGGTTCTTAATTATCCAAATGGAAGCATTTAAACACTTTTGAATTTACACCTATCTTTTGTGTTTGCTTTTTAAAATAAAGTGCTTGTATTTGTATCTCCAGATTTTGGAGTAATTATCTATTTGATGTTTATAGGTCCTGTGGTTTTTCAGCTAAGAAGCAGAATCTCATTTCAGTACATTTAGTTTTATAAGTCATGAAGCCAGATCTTTAATGGGCTGTATTTAGAGGCACAAAGTCCTGGGATATGTGTGTATTCACAGTAGTGTACATTTTGTGCCTTGAGTCACTTTGAAAAGTGTCTCAGAAAACCTGGACGGCCAGTTCCCTTCTATCTTCACAAGAATTTTATATGTATTTATGAAAATGATTCTGTATTCTAGTAAATCTTTTTGGGCATGGACTAATTTGTATCTCTTCATAGTCATATTCTGCACGATCTGTATATAGTATATCAAATTTAGAAGTGTGACCTTAAATTTAACTTTTTTTTTTTTAAAAAACCGGGAGGTCAATAAAATTTAAACTGCTTACAACTATGTATACAACTGCTCAAATTTTTTTACTTGCATATATTTTTTTTTACCATAAATATAGCTGAGTTCTCTTAAAAGAAGAAAATGTATGTGTATGTATAATATATGTATATATACACACACATACCTAGAAGAGAATAAACATGCAAATTACCTTTAATAATACTTTGACAGTTGGAAGTGAAGAGATTTTTCAAATAGGAGAAACTGCTTAGTCCATCCAAGTTGTTATACTTAAAAAGTTATAGTAAAAATTGTTGCATTCTAGTTGTCCTTTTAAGTAGACATAACTTTATGGAATCCTTTAAGGTGATGCTTTGGGCACACGCAAAAATGTGGTTAAATTTTCATTTTATAAATGTATATTAAATTGGTAAATGATCAGTTACCTTATGACTTGTTAAGACATTAAGAACAATTCTAAAGAATATATAAATGTTATTAAAATAACACTTTTATACCCCCATTTCAACAAGAGTACCTATCAACTAATAAATTAGTCACACAATTAAATCATGTCTTATGTTCTTCACAAGATGGTGTATTATTATAAAAAGTCATGGTTCTCACCTCATTCTACATTCAGAATCACTAATGTAACTTTTAAAATGAAACAGAACTTTTAAATGAAACACTGCTCATAAGCTTCTGATGGAATAGTTCTAGGATAGAGCCTGGGCCTTGTACCCAAGAGACTGCCAATGTTAAAAACTATTGGTGTAGGGCAGCCTGGGTGGCTCAGTGGTTTAGTGCTGCCTTCAGCCCAGGACGTGGTCCTGGAGTCCTGGGATCGAGTCCCATGCTGGGCTCCCTGCATGGAGCCTGCTTCTCCCTCTGCCTATGTCTCTGCCTCTCTCTGTGTCTCTCATGAATAAATAAATAAAATCTTAAAAAAAAACCCCACCAAACTATTGGTGTAGATTCTTGATATGAGAAAGTTTAAGATAACTGAAGTATGTGATAAGTGAGGGAAATGTTCAGTATCATACCAGTGTTCTCAGAGGAAGCCTGTTTTTATTCAAGTCAGAAAATAATTAGTATTGCATGGAAATTAAATCATAATTATATAAGTTTTAGAGTTCTTGATGTTGTCACTGAGATTTATGTGAAATAATCCAAGCTCTTACATAATACAGTCTAATGAGAAATGACCTGGGGATTACTAAATATTCTCTATGTATACCTCCCCCTCCCTTACCTTAAAGAGGAGAGTATTTGTCACCTTATTTTTGTCTTAATGAATTTCCATTCTTGACTCCTTGTCTTTCTTTCTTGTTCACGTGGATCCTCTGTCCCCAAATTTATTTTTGAGGCTATGTCTTTGACTCCTTGGTTCACCCCTTTTGGTCCAACATTGTTGACTCATCTGAAAAATCTTTCTGTGATTCAATGTTTGAATTGATGTAGTAAGATGAATTTGAGATAATACTGCCAGTTATAAAGGGAGGCTGGGGAAAAGATATCAACCATCTCCTATGCTCTCAGGAGAAGGAGACATTTTTGGGATCTGGTTTCAACATCAACTACAGAATGAAGGCGCCATGATCAGTTTTTAAGTGATTCATGTCACTGGTCAGTAGATTAAAGGGAGAGATTAAAAATGATACCTTTCTATAATAACTGCACAAAGAAAAAAGACATTGTTCAAAACACTTCCAAAAAACATTAATATATAGTTTCTTGGATAAACTTGCCAAGTAATTGGAATAAATAATTTCAAAAAGATTTTGTCTTAGTTTTTCATGTCATAAAGTTACTTTAAATTTGTTCTTAATTAAAACAGCTATTTTGACTTTTTGTGTATACTTTATAATAAAGTCTATACAAGCATTAAAAAATAAGTTTTCATTCAACTGGTAGATTAAAATCAAATACCAGCTTTCAGTATCATTTTATGGTGATGTAATAAGATAGCTCTAAAGCTGATTTCTAGTTTACTAGTTTAGATGTCCAAACTCCTAAAATAACCAGCTTGTTTAATTTGAAACACTGAAATCATGCATTTTAGTTGCTGAGAGTCTATCAGTGTAACAAGATTGAGTGTCAAAGATTAAGCTACTGTGACTGGTAGCAGTGATCCCAGTATTGTTATTTGTAAGCAAAAGTTTCATCAGGTAAAGTTATTTCTGTAATGTATCCTAAATCCTCCTTTGGTATCTAAATGAAAAATACCTTAGAAACCTGTTTTAAGACTTCACAAACCAGTTATCAGTATCTTTACCCACTTATTCATTTATTTAATTTGGGGCTCTTGGGCCCATACAACGTAAATTTTCATTTTTACTTCGCTAGTTTTGGGACTATTTCTTGAATCAACTCAAGATTCTTTTGTCAACAAAAATTTTTAAAGTCTCACTCAATAAAATTAGTGTAAACATTCACATATTTAATAGTACCTTTAAAATAAGCATTACTACATTTAAAATGGTTCCAAAATGAATCTATAAATGGTAATATAAATTAAAAAATACAAACTTAAAGTAAATAAATTTAACATTAGCTATGGTATAAATAATAGTAAATGTATAGTGAGTCATTACTTTGAGTCTTAAAAAAAGATAACAGCATATTACCAGAACATGAGAAACCATGGCCATGATTCTCAAACTTCATGATCTACATTTGATACTGTTTTGGCCACTGTGTTCTTCAATGAGTAGTAAATCAATGCTAGAATTTCCAGAATTAAGTCCCAAATCTTGTTTTTCAGTAAATCTTAATTTCTTTTTCACACTCAATGTTGAATACATGGCTCTCTTCAACTGAATAAGTGCATTTATTTTATTAAAGATCCATTTTGCGCAGGCTCATCCGACTGAAGGAATCTCTGGGGAGAAAATGAAAGGATATAGTTATAAGTAAATAATTTTTGCATATTCCTTTAAAATATGCTTCACGTACTTCTTTCTGCCAGAGTGGTATCAAAGTTTTGCCACCAAAAACTTAAAATATTTCTTTGCCATCAAAGTTCTTAACTTTCAAGTTACATGTTCATCCTACACATTCTGCCTTATATATTTCTTTTATAGATTAAAAACACACTTTGCCAAGTGCACTGATCATTTATTAATTTGTCCAATAGGTGATTAGATACTGTGATAAAACAGGAGCTAAGGGATAATGGGAGAGATTTCAGGAAAAGACTTGAGATTACTAAAAGGCAAAAACCAGGTGTTATCTAAAATTTTAAATCCTAAGAATTCAGTGGTTCTCAAACTCCTGGGTTTTAGGTTCCTTTTTACACTTAAGAATTGAGGACCCCAGGAAGCTTTTATGTGGATTCTATATTGATATTTACCACATTAGAAATTAAGAAAATTTTAAATTATTATTTTATAAAATAACCCATTATGTTACTATAAATTGCATTATTTTTAAAACTTGTAAGAATTTTAGAAGAGTGGCATTCTTAATGTCTAGCTTAATAGAAAGCCTAGATTCTCTTATCTGCTTCTGCATTAAATCTTTTACAATATCACACTGCACTCTGGAAGACTCTATGGTACTCTCATGAATGAACAAGAGTGGAAAAAGTTGGGATCCCTGGGTGGCGCAGCGGTTTGGCGCCTGCCTTTGGCCCAGGGCGCGATCCTGGAGACCCGGGATCGAATCCCACGTCGGGCTCCCGGTGCATGGAGCCTGCTTCTCCCTCTGCCTGTGTCTCTGTCTCTCTCTCTCTCTCTCTCTCTCTGTGTGACTATCATAAATAAATAAAAACTTTAAAAAAAAAAAAAAAAAAAAGTGGAAAAAGTAAAATGGTATTAATATGAAATTAGTTTTGACTTGGGAACCTCTAAAGGTCTCAGGGACCCCTTTTTATATGTCCCTGGTCACACTTTGAGAACCACCATCTTAGTAACTTTTAAGCCTATTACAAAAAAATATTCCAGGTTTTGTTAATCAGTAAAATAAATTCAAAATTCTATGGAAATGTTATATTCTAAATTCTCAAGAAATTAAAAGTGAGGGAGGGATAGTATTCTTCACCTCTTAATGTATTTTTCTCTATCCTAAAACTGATTTCTTTTGTTTATCCTTCCTGCCATTAAGGTTAAACCTGGAGGCTTAGATCTCCAAGAAAGGAGAGGGCAAGTAGGAAAAGATCATCTTTGAATCTCAAAGCTTGGTTTTCTGGTTCTGTAGAAAATCTTGAAAGCTAGGCATTGTTAACACACCTGTATCCGCCACCCCACCTCAGAAGAGTGTTTGTTTTTAATTCCAGAAAAACTACCTGCAAATATTAAGAAAAGCTTGAGGGATTGACCATAACACAGATCACAGAGGAAGGCAAAACTCAGGATTATGGTGATACTGGAAAAGGGAAAAGCTCCTTTAGATAGGAAGGCTACAATGTTTCTACTGAGATGGGCTGCAGATTTGGAGGAAGCAAGACTAGCATTTACAGAGGTCCTGACTAGGTCAGGAACACAGTACCCTCTTCCCAGGACCTTGGACCAATGAGTTTAAGAATAGTGGAGGTGGGTAAAGGCAACAAGGATGCAAAAGTTCCAAAAAGAAGGGAAGCACAAAGCAGATGGGACTGGTGTTGCTTCCCACTGATAATTTTTAATGGGTGATATATCAGTATAGGATGGTGGATGCAAAATCTATTTTGCCAGAGACAGGATTTTATTTTTTATTTGAACTTTAGTTAATATCCAGTGCAGTATTAATTACTGGGTTAGAATTCAGTAATTCATTACCTAAAACACCCGGTGTTCATCACAAGTGCCCTCTTTGATACCCATCCCCTACTTAGCACATCCCCCCCCCCCCGCCTCCTTGCATCAACCCTCAGCAGTTTGTTCTCCATTTACAGAGGATTTTTAAAAGGTCCCTGTCTACCCCTGTTATTGTACAGCTAGGACAATGCTCCATGTAGGGGACATGACCTATAGCAGGCACTTAGTAGACACATTTTGAATGCATGTGTCATTTTTTTCTACATCACTGAAGAATAGGGACTAATTTCCAGATGATCAAATAGCTCATTTGACTTTCTT